CTGTATGCACAGGCCAGCTTAGATATCTCCTTCTTCATTCCCATGGCAAGTCCAGGAACCGGGGGGATGAATGCAGCTACACCTGTAGCAGCATGTGGATCTTTGTTGGAGTTTTTTGATGATCATCTTCTGGCATGAGTCTTCCAGAGAGTGCTGATGTTGGAAGTTCTTTTTCATATCGTATCTTAGTTCTTTTTCAGGGTAGCCAAATTAGGCTTTGATCCTCTGTAAAAAGATGACTTTTAAATGAAAATACAGAGTTTAAGTTTTATGAACATACTTTTTAGTGTTGCTCTTTAATTGAAATTTTCCTTTAAACTGAATAATGAGAGCTTCTGTGTTATTCTTGTTCCCAAACAGTATGTCATATCATATTAAACTAGTTAAATATTAGGCTAGAGTAAATTTATAAATGTATTTACCTGAAATTGCTTTTAGTATGTTACTCTATATATATTGATATACAGATTGGTATACAGATAGGTATATTGATATACAGATAGGCGTACTTAAAAATTTTAATTACTGAATATATATTAACATTTTTAACTGAAATATTTCATGTATTAATGCAGTCATTTGTCTCTGTAGGGCCTCACCAGGCACAGTGGCTGCTCCCCGTTTGCCTCCCACCGGTGTCAGTTGGGCTGACAAGGTAAAGGCTCGTCATACAGGTTCTACTGCTTCTTCGGATGTAGCTCCCACCCAGTCTTGCCCACCGGTGGCAGTGCAGAAGACTTCCTGCAAAAATGGCAAGTGACTTTTGAATCAACCTTTTTATGTAGTGAACAGGTGGATGTATATGGGCTATTTATTTTATTTCAAATTGGTGATAATAGCATTGTATAGTTACCTTTTTGTTGCATTTGTTTGATATTAGCTTGCTTTAGTGAAAATGATAAAATAATCTTAAAAATTCTGTGAAAGTTTATGGAAATAATTCTCATCTCGTGTTGCCTTGTATAAACTTAAAGGAGAATTATTTCTTTTGTCAGTTCACTTATAAGATCCCTTATAACTCTTTTGACTTGAAGTAAGGGAAAAATAAACTGCTCCATCCTCTAGGCAATACACTTTTTAAGTAGCATGTCACTACTTCATTTCAGTAATATTTAAATATTATTTTGGCACTAAAATATTCTGTTTATCTTTGTTCATACATCTGTTTTCTATACCGTCAGAATAATTAACAAGCAGAAATAAATAGAATGGGCTATTATTCTGAGGACTCACGTGGAATTTATCCCTTAAAGTATTTCCTTCCTGAAATGTTTTTGTATAGGAATCCAGAATCGATTTTTTATATATTTATAGAGGATTGGATTTTAGAATGATAGCAAGTAATAAGAGATTTGTATTGTCAGTAATGAGCAACTTGAGAGTACTGCTGTTTTTTTCAATGAAAGATCATTTGGAGTTTATTGGTTCAGAAAGAAATGTTTTCTTGCACATAACTAAGTCATTCCCACCTTTATATTATGGATACGTGTAGTTTTTCCACTTTTTTCTCAGTAAATTATGTTGACTTATGTCAAATAATATTCCTTACTTTTACACAGTGTATTACCATTGGTTTCTCTGTATAGATTAAGTAGTAGAAAATTGAGAGTAGGCATGAGTTCTTTCTCTGACAAAAATGTAGAAAAATGTGGAATCATAAAGTTTAGTTTCTGTATCTTAAAATAGTCTTAAATGTGTCAAATTTGCAAAAATCAAAATTGCAAAAAACCGTAAATGAATCATGCTTCTGAACTTACCATGGTTTTTTTTTTTATGCAGTACTCTCAGACATTATGAGTATGACCCATCTGAGATGGAGTGATAAACCTTGATTAGAAGTAGGCTTAAAAATACGATTGTTTTTATCAGAAATTTTCACTAAATAAATTCAGTGGGAACCTAGAAAGAAAAACCCTTGTTAATATATCAAGAAATTTTGTTTTTGATCATTTTGGTCTCCACTTCAGTGGTTGTGATTATACATAGTAAATTATGGGGTAAATTTTGGTGTAATTTGTAGTAACAGTAGCTATAGTACTGAAGTTTGTAATTATATGCTCTGACTCAAACAGTTCCATGGAAATAACATGGTTAATATTTGAAGAGGATAAGTCCTTTACTTTTTATTTATTTTTATTTGTTTTTGTATCAGTAATACACTTACATGAACAACATTGTGGCTGCTATACTACCTTCCGCATGCCCCCCCACTGTTATGTGTGCTAATCATAATGTTCCTTTTTCCCCTTATCCCTCCCTTCCCACCCATTCCCCCCAGGCCCATTCCCTTTGGTAACTGTTAGTCCATTTTTACGTTCTGTGATTCTGCTGCTGTTTTGTTCTTTCAGTTTTTTTCTTTGTTCTTATACTCCACAGATGAGTGAAATCATTGATACTTGTCTTTTTCCGCCTGTCTTATTTCATTGAACATAATACCCTCTATCCCCATCCATGCTTTTGCAAATGGTAGGATATGTTTTCTTCTTATGGCTGAATAATATTCCATTGTGTATATGTACCACATCTTCCTTATCCATTCATCTACTGATGGACACTTAGGTCGATCCCATTTCTTGGCTAGTGTAAATAGTGCTGTGATAAACGTAGGTGTGCATATGTCTTTTTCAAACTGGGCTGCTGTATTGTTAGGGTAAATTCCTAGGAGTGGAATTCCTGGGTCAAATGGTATTTCTATTTTGAGTTTTTTTGAGGAACCTCCATACTGCTTTCACAATGGTTGAACTAATTTACATTCCTACCAGCAGTGTAGGAGGGTTCCCTTTTCTCCACAACCTCACCAACATTTGTTGTTTTTTGTCTTTTGCATGCTGGCCATCCTTACTCGTGTGAGGTGATATCTCATTGTGGTTTTAATTGGCATTTCTCTGATGACTAGCGATGTGGAGCATCTTTTCATGTGTCTGTTGGACATCTGAAATTCTTCTTTGGAGAAGTGTCTGTTCAGCTCCTCTGCCCATTTTTTAATTGGGTTATTTGCTTTTTGTTTGTTGAGGTACATGGGCTCTTTGTATATTTTGGATGTCAACCTTTTGTCAGATATGTCATTTATGAATATTTTGTCCTATACTGCAGGATGCCTTTTTGTTCTACTGATGGTGTCGTTTGCTGCATAGTTTGATATGGTCCCACTTGTTCATTTTTGCTTTTGTTTCCCTTTCCCATGGAGATGTGTTCATGAAGAAGTTGCTCAGTTTAAATTCAAGAGAGTTTTGCCTATATTTTCTTCTCAGAGTTTTATGATTACATGACTTTCATTCAGGTCTTTGATCCATTTCGAGTTTACTTTTGTGTATGGGGTTAGACAGTGATCCAGTTTCATTCTCTTGCATGTAGGTGTCTAGTTTTGCGAACCCCAGCTGTTGAAGAGGCTGTCATTTCCCCATTGTATATCCATGGCTCCTTTATTGTATATTAATTGACCATATATGTTTGGGTTAATATCTGGACACTCTGTTCTCTTCCACTTGTCTGTGGGTCTGTTCTTGTGCCAGTACGAAATTGTCTTGATTACTGTGGCTTTGTAGTAGAGCTTGAAGTTGGGAAGTGAGATTCCCCCCCCACGTTATTATTCTTTCTCAGGATTGCTTTGTCTATTTGGGGTCTTTTGTGGTTCCATATGAATTTTAGAACTATTTGTTGCAGTTCTTTGAAGAATGCTGTCAGTATTTTGATAGGAATTGCATTGAATCTGTAGATTGCTTTGGGCAGGATGGCCATTTTGACAATATTAATTCTTCCTACCCAAGAGCATGGGATAAATTTCCATTTATTAGAATCGTCTTTAATTTCTCTTAGGAGCATCTTGTAGTTTTCAGGGTATAGGTCTTTCACTTCCTTGGCTAGGTTTATTCCTAGGTATTTTATTCTTTTTGATGTAATTGTGAATAGAATTGTTTTCCTGATTTCTGTTTATGCTAGTTCATTGTTAGTGTTTAGGAATGCAACAGATTTCTGTGTATTTATTTTGTATCCTGCAACTTTGCTGAATTCAGAGATTCTAGTGGTTTTGGAGTGGATTCTTTAGGGTTTTTTATGTTCAATATCATGTCATCTGCAAAGAGTGACAGTTTGACTTCTTCCTTACCAATCTGGGTGCATTTTATTTCTTTGTGTTGTCTGTTTGCTGTGCCTAGGACCTCCAGTACTGTGTTGTATAAAAGCAGGAAGAGTGGGCATACTTGTTCCCAATCTTAGAGGAAAATCTTACTTCTTCTCACTGTTAAGTGTGATGTTGGCTGTGGGTTTGTCATATATGGCCTTTATTATGTTGAGGTACTTGCCCTCTATACCCATTTTGTTGAAAGTTTTTATCATGAATGGATGTTGAATTTTGTCAAATGCTTTTTCAGCATCTATGGAGATTATCATGTGGGTTTTTTTCCTTTTATTTTGGTGTATGATGGATAAAGGATGGATTTGATGGAATTTTAAATGTCGTACCATCCTTGCATCCCTGGGACGAATCCCACTTTATCATGGTGTATGATCCTCTTGATGTGTTTTTGAATTTGGTTTGCTAATATTTTGCTGAGTATTTTTACATCTATGTTCATCAGGGATATTGGTCTGTAGTTTTCTTTTTTGGTGCTGTCTGCCTTGTTTTGGTATTAAAGTGATGCTAGCTTCATACAATGTGTTTGGGAGTATTTCCTGCTCTTCTATTTTTTTGGAATACTTTAAGGAGAATGGGTATTATGTCTTCTCTATATGTCTGATAAAATTTTGCAGTGAATCCATCTGGTTCAGATATTTTGTTCTTGGGTAGTTTTTTGTTTATTGATTCAATTTCGTTGCTCTGGTAATTGGTCTGTTTAGATTTTCTGTTTCTTCCTGGGTCAGTCTTGGAAGTTTGTATTTTTCTAGAAAGTTGTCCACTTTTTCTAGTTTATCCAGTGTGTTAGCATATAGATTTTCATAGTATTCTTTAATAATTCTTTGTTTTTCTGTGGGGTCCTTCATGATTTTTCCTTTCTCATTTCTGATTCTGTTTATGTGTGTAGATTCTTTTTTTTTCTTAATGTTTCTGGCTAGGGGTTTAACTATTTTGTGTATTTTCTCCAACAGCTCTTCATTTCATTGATTTTTTTTCTATTGTTTTATTCTTTATTTTATTTATTTCTGCTCTGATCTTTATTATGTCCATCCTTCTGCTGACTTTGGACTTCATTCGTTTTTCTTTTTCCAATTTCAATAATTGTGAATTTAGACTATTCATTTGGGATTGTTATTCCTTCTTTAAATATTCCTGGTTTGGTATATACTCTCCTCTTAGAACTGCCTTCGGTGTTTCCTATAGAAATTGGGGCTTTGTGCTGTTGTCATTTGTCTCTATGTATTGCTTGATCTCTGTTTTTATTTGGTCATTGATCCATTGATTATTTAGGAACATGTTGTTAAACCTCCATGTGTTTTTGAGCCTTTTTGTTTTTTCTGTACAATTCATTTCTGGTTTTACACCCTTGTGGTCTGGGAAGTTGGTTGTTACAATTTCAGTCTTTTTGAATTTACTGAGGCCCTTTTTGTGTCCTAGTATGTCGTCTATTCTGGAAAATCTTCCACGTGCATTTGAAAGGAATGTGCATCCTTCACCTTTTGAGTGAAGAGTTCTGTAGATATCTGTTAGGTCCATCTATTCTAATGTATTGTTCTGTACCTCTGTCTCCTTAGTTATTTTCTGTCTAGTTGATCTGTTCTTTGGAGTGAGTGAAGTGTTGAAGTCTCCTATAATGAA